TCTTATTCCTGGTGTCAGCCCCGGTGTGAGCCAGCAGGCACTAGATGACTTCCAGAGTTAGTGAGTAGGAGCAGAAGAGCAGAGAGACCTGGAATGTGAAAAAGAAAACCAGAACTCCCAATGCATGGTTGAGTGGTTGCAGACTTCTTACACAAATCACACTCTTGTTTTTACTCTCAAGGTTTGTCTCTGTTCTTTTCCTCCTTACTCTTTTGCATTCCAGTCTGATTGCTTTCTTTATATTCATGTGCCTGGATACCAGTGGCAAATGCACATAGAAACTGTTATTTGCATTTTGTCCTGGTGCCTGGGGGCCAGTGGTCCAGGAAGAGCAACTGCAAAGGAAGTTGTACTTGGCGCAGAATGGTGTTTGGTTGGTCATTTTTGGGGCCAGTGCATATGAGCTGTGTGAAAATAATGCATGTTCATTGTAGATGAAATGTTCAAGAAATTTAGCTGGAAGCTAATATTTAATATATTGAGTTATTTTCAGGGATTTTTTTTTAGTTGGCCTCATTCGGGCATTTTTGTCTTGTTTTTTAGAAAAACCTGACCAAACCAACCACTCCCCCCCCCGCCCCAAACCCACATCACTAGTGCTCTTGCAAAATATCAGATCTTCACTCCAAATCCTAGAGTTAGCAGACCTCTGAAATGCCATGGTTATGAAACAAAGTTAGCTGAAGTAAAATCAAATTTGTACCAGACCTATTGTCAGAAACAATTGCACTTCATAACAAAATAATGATTTGAGTCAGCCCAATGGCTGAAATTTGGTAAAATCACCAGCAATTGAAAATTGACAGTAATAAGTATTGTTAACAATTTCGTTGAAGGATAAATTTCTGCAGAAATAGAACTCTGTTTTGCATCTTTTGTCTGGAAAGTTATCCTGTATAGCTACTTTCCCTTTTTTTTGGGAAAGGTTTGCGAAGTAGGAGTTTGGTTCCTATACAGCTAGTGAATGATACACAGGGAAGCAAAAGTCTAAATTATCCCTCCGCCTTCAGTGTAGAGGTTAGGGGAGTGCTTTAGGCAAGAGAGGAGATGAGAAAATTGGTAACTAAACAATGGTAGTTTTTAAAAAAAAATAATTATATCTTTGGTTTTGTCCATGTTTAACTTTAGCAGATGGCACTCTAACCTGCTCGAATACCACCAATCTGCTGTTAAATGTCACTGATATAGTGTTACAGTCTCCACGTTCATGTACCGTACTCTGTCTGGGAGGAGAGGTGCCCTGCTCCAAGCGCTCGCATAATCTCTCGAGCCCACCTTGGCTAAGGCTCCTGCTGCAGTTTCTGAAACCGCAGCCGGTTTTCTTACCCTCCCATGTCGCCTGCTCCTCTGCCATAGCTCACCAGCCGCAGGATGCAACTGTGTAAGCGCTGGCCGGCCTCTTCGCTCAGCCCGGGCAGCAGCTGGCATCTTCAAGGACTCGTACGGCATAAAATGCTGAATCGCTGCAGTGAAGGGGGAAGGGGGTGCCAGGACCAGAAACGAACAGGGAGGGTCGGGGAGCACCGGATGCTCTTAACTGGCCCTTGCTGCTGAAGCAACTGCAAACGGATCCATGTCCTAGAAAGAATGATTAAAGCTGACTGGGGTGAATTGTCTTCTGTGCATGTTCATTTTAGAAGCTGAGGCTTAATGTTTTAAAGCTGTTCACTAGATGAAATGAATTTTGTGAAAACTGTAATACGTAGTGTAAAAAAGATTGGTAAATTAAATTGGTTCCTTAGTACTAATTTAACTTTATTATTTGAAAGAACTATATCCGTGGCAGAGACATCTACGTCAGAGTTTTTATGTCCATTACAGTTGAGTTAGTGTGATAGTTTTTCTTCCCCCCTAAAAGTGATGTGATGGGATTGGATTGTTTGTAACTGACTACATTTAGAACATGCAGCTTTTCAGTGGAGTAATGCTTAAATAACGTCTTAACTTTTTTTAACTACATTTTTTTAAAGCTGTATCAGGGCTTTCTAATTTAGTGAGTAATAATAAAAACCACCACTCATTTGTTTTGATCCTCTCAGGAAGGGTTTTCAAAGATGAGTTGAAAATGAGTTTCAAAAATCAGTTTCAAGTTTCAAAAACTAAATGAGTTTCAAAGATCAGTTCTGTGTACTCAGACTTCTGTTGTTTTCATTTGTACTGATAATGTTGATGTCCATTTAAAAAATATCACCAAGATCTTAATAAAAAAAGTTCTTGTGCCTGTTATTTTTTTTTATGTCAGCTGGAACTAAAGTATAGCACACAGATGCTTTTATATCTTGAAGTTATAATTAAGGATGTTCTTCACTATGCAGAATATTAGGTCTAGATGATATATTAGAGATTTTTACAGTTATGTAGGAAACCTTTTTGTAAACCTGATATTGTGCCTAAGTTTTGTGCATTTTGATTTTGGTACTGTGTTGTTTGATGCAGCAAACTTTTTACCTAAAAGGGTTGAGTTGGGAAAGTTGTTCAGGCAGGTAGCTGGGGTGTTAAAAATTAGGATGAGGAAAGGTTAGATGTTTAGTATCTGAATTTATTGTTAAAAGAATGTTTCTGCTTTTACTGGGAACGCAATGCATGGGGGTTTTTTTTAGTTTGAACTTTGAGGAGACAGCTTCACACTTTTCCTTCCTTTTGCTTTTGGCAAAAGCCGAATGTTCTCACATTCATATCATACTGCACTAAGCCATCTCTGCATCAAAAGAAGATAGTGCTGGTCCTTCTGAATTGATCAGCACTGGCATAATTAGCATTGATGCTTAAATTAAGATCTAGTATCTACATGGCTTTTTTATTTTTTTGGCTGTCTACAGATTCACATCATTATCTCATACTTAGTTTGTGGTTTTAAAGTTTTCTTCACACGCCACTAAGTCAAAATATGTCTTCTAAAGTAAGTACCTTACATTACATTTTCCAGAAGCTGGAAAGCCCAGTCTCCCTTACAGCTTTGAGTCCATATTAACATCCTAAATTTGATGTGAGGCAAATAGGCATCAAGTGAAGGAAAAATATAGCTCTGAGAACATAAAACACTAACTCTGATGCGTTTCAAAGCGATTCCATTAGAAAAAAAAATCCCTAGATTTAACACTTATTCTTTATTACATGTTAATATTATTATGAAAATAGCTTTTTGGGATATTTAAGTAGTAGTCAGAAAAATTATCTGAAAAAAGGCTTCCTGCCAGAGCAAAGATGAAAATTCAGATGTTTCTGGCTTTAGGCTAATGGAGCACATTGCTTCCTAAAAGGAACTAATTTAGTTTGCTTTCCTTTTATCTTTTCAAATAGATATTTCTGCCAAAAATATTCTCCATCGTTCAAGTTTAGGATAAACAAGACATCAGCTGATGACATGTAGCTTAAATGCTGTGTTGATAGCTTACAGCTCTCCACATCATGTGCATGTTCTTGTGGCTGCCCCATTAATGTTGGATCAATAGGGTAAATAATTAACGAAAACAAGCTAATCAAAATGAAAGTCTGCCCAGTGAAATAAGACACTTGCTTCCTGTTTTCTTTGCAGTTTTTGGTGTTAAGTTTTAAAGTTCTCTGGGAATTCAGAAAATTTTAAGTCCATTGATTCTCACTAAGTACTAATACTTTGTGTAAGTGTAAATACATACATACCTGAGCAACTTGTCTACATAAATAGAAACCCTAGCAGGGTGAAGGATAAATATTTCAAAGACCATGTTGAATAAAATTTGGGCCAACTGTGAGCTTCCATAATTAATTTTTCCAGTAAAACTTCAGAAATCCTGAACTTTGAAAGATTTGCTTGCACTGTAGGGAAGAGAGAGCTAATTTAAAACTTCTCTTTTGCTTTCTCTTTTTTTCATTCCTTCCAGTAGTTTTGAAGGAGTCCATTGATATTAGCAATATATGAATGAACAAAAGAATAAATGTGCCTGATGAGGAAGTTCAGTAAAAGAAGTAATCCCAACTTAAAGAAGGGCACCTGCCTATGCATTGTTTTATATTGTTACAAGGGAAGGTTAATCTGATGACAGTAACTTGGAGATTTAAACAGATTCTGTTACAGAGTTCATCTCCTAATAGCTAAGCAGTCTGTTGAGAGAAGCTGGCTTGAAAATCCAGAGGTGTGAAATATTTTTGACTTGTGTAAATCTCAAGTTAAATTATTATTTGCTGTTTGTTGATGTTTTATAATTCAGATGTGCAACATTGTTCTTCAGCAAAAGAAGATAAAATACTTAGGTTATTTCATCAGAAAAAGCCTCAGAGTACTTTTTTCTTAAATGAAGTAATAATTGGTAGAAGTAAATTTTTCAATTTGTTTGGCGCTAGTGTACACGACGGGTAATTACTTGATTAAATTATTGTGCCTGTGCCCCATCCCACCCTCTTTGGAGTATCTTTAGCATTTTCTCAATCATCTCCTGCTTCTCAGCACAGAAGCAGCTGGTGTTATTGTCATTATTCTTCTTTTTAATTTCCTTAGACAAGTATGAATCGTTATGGCATAAAAAGGCAGATTAGAGAGAGATTCATGGAAGCATTTTATATCCTCCATTGCTGAATCATTACTTGTGTGGCAGCTCAGGCAGAGTCTTTTCTGTGGATAACAGAGTGCCTTTTAGAAGACTAGTGGCCGGCATGTTCTCTTCCCCATACAGAAGAGACATATGCTATTAGGCATCTGTCCTTAAGCACCAAAATTGGCAGAATTTTAATCATACAGTGTGTACTTGTCATAAAGGCAAAGTCAGTAGAGCTATGACTTCATTAGTGCAGAAAGAAATGTGTTGACAGGCAAGTGTTGGTGGATGGTGAGGGTGGCCTAGTGATGGGAGAGAGATGAAATCATCGTAAGAGTCCACACCTGTTACATGTTGTAAACGTGAAGACTTTCTGCTAATATACAGCGTTCCATGTCAGTTTGAGCAATATGTCATACTGTATTTTACCCGTTTTCAGCAGAATATTATATGTTTCAAACCTTTCTTTTTCTGTAAAATATAGGAATATTCTGAGGACAGCAATTCTGAACCAAACGTGGATCTGGAAAACCAATACTACAATTCCAAAGCTTTGAAGGAAGATGATCCCAAAGCGGCTTTAAGCAGTTTTCAGAAGGTTTTCTGTCTTTATATTCTATCTCTTATTTTTATATTAATTCACATTTTAAAATATTTGCTTGCCATTTGAGTTATTTTCTGGAATCTTAAGAGCAATGTTTATATTTTAACTTAATGTGCTAAGTTTATCATTGGACAACTTAGACTCTTGGCTGGACCGCCTTTCAGGATTCATTCGTAGGGAGTATAAATAGGACACAGAGTAGTCCTATTTTATTGCAGAACTGAGTTTTTAATCTTCAGAATTTACTAAGTTGATTAAACAGTCTTAAGTGTGTCAACTATAGAAGCCAGATCCATTCATTTTTTTAAATGAAACGGCGTTTTCCCCAGTGTCTAATGTAATGTATTACATTTGGTTTGCTATCTGATTCCAAAGCTTTAAATGTATAAATACTGAGTGATGCAGAGTTTCTTCCCTTCATGTCAGTATTAAATTTTAAATGTTTGCACACTGCCACCAATAAGCAATATGTTAGATGTAACTTTTTAAAGAAAAAACAGATTTTTGCATCTCTTGGCTTATTTATAGTGTGTAACAGTATTATATATATTACTTACAAAAAACATTCCAGAATTTTTACTTACAAAGCATTCCCTTAACTATGCTACATTAAAGCCTTTCTGACGTGAAGAAAGTATAGTAATTCAGAAATGTGAATTTTTGACTAATGTTGTCAAGGGGTGGGTTGAGTCAGTTTTGCAGAGAGTGTTACAACTTTTTTGTGTATATGTATTTATGGAGTGGCATTAAATTTTAGTTTGGTGTTAGACAACAACAGCAACAAATCTCTAAATAGCAGTTCACCCTCCCTACATAAGCTAAGCTATGAAATCTAATAAGAATCCTACCACTTACTCACTTTCTCAAGAATATCAGGGAAGAGTAAAATGGAAGAACAGGGTAGAGTGAAACATTACTTGGTAAGGAACAGAGGAGGGGAGAAAAGGCATATATGGGATATGTGTGTTTTAAACAAGATGCAAATCAATTTAAGTTTGAATAAAGCTTTTGTAAACATTGTTTAAAAATTATTCTATTTCAGGTTTTGGAGCTCGAAGGTGAAAAAGGAGAATGGGGATTCAAAGCTCTGAAACAGATGATTAAGATAAACTTTAAATTGGTAGGAATTACAGCTATCACTTGAGAGTAAATGGCATAAATACGTATTTGATCCAGAGATCTTAAGTTATTATTCTAATTTATGGCTATGACAACTAAATCTGCCAGAACTTGTCTTTTGTGGCATTTAATGAAAGGCTACTACAGACATGGCAGGGAAATTATGTAGTGGTTGCAAGTCAAAGGCAAAATGGATGCAAAATAGCTGCTGTAGTCATCTGATACTCTGAAAGTTTGAAGCTCAGTCCTTGCTATCCTAAGGTATCATACCATTGAATCCGATAATGTTTTACATATGTGTGTTTCACCAGAACAAATCAGTGAAAAATTTGTGTGCTGCATATGCAACCATTCCAAATAGTTGTATAGCCAACACTGTTTTCTTCGTTGAGATAAATATTTTAAATATCTATTCTGTGCAGTCTTGCTGAAGTTATTCCTGATTCTGCTGCTTATGAATAAAGTGGTGATGGAAGAATTCCTAATAGCAACCACTACTGCATAGCCTTTCTGTTATGCTTTCTTTTCTGTATGTGTATTTGCAAGATATAACTAACTCAGTTTTTAATCATTAAAACAAAAATTATAACGTAACTTTGTTTTTCTTTTAGACTAACTTTCCTGAAATGATGAACAGATATAAACAGCTATTGACCTACATACGGAGTGCAGTTACAAGAAATTACTCTGAAAAATCCATCAATTCTATTCTTGATTATATCTCTACTTCCAAGCAGGTTAGATCATCAGTTCTTTCATCTTCATGGTTTTCCTTTTTGCGTTTTTAACTGTGGATTTTTTTGTGTATGGTACCCTTTTGATTTCAGGTTTTTTTTTATCTTAATAGAGAACATTTGCAGTATTAATTTGTTGTCATATGTTAAAATATATTTCCCACATTTAATGGATTCTATCAACACACATAACTTTTCACAAACTTTTCTTTTTTTTGGCAATATTTACCTGGTATTTCTATGCTATAAGTAAAGTAAATTTTTATATTTTTTTTTTTAAGCATGGAAGCTATACATTTTAAGTGCCTTCTCAAATAAAATTTGTAATTAAACAGTGTGATTTTTTGGAAGGTGGGGGGGAACCTTTGGAAAACTTTGCAGTGAAGTGTGGGTGTTAAATACTGCCTATCTTTGAATGTACTGTGCAAGCTAGGTACATGTTCATAGATACACAGCCCAGCTCATTTTCTTTTGTGTTGTTTGAAGCTTTACAGAGAGTAGAAAGCTCCCCTAACTGACTACCTGGAAGTAGCACCTGCATATGGAGGATCACTGGTCTTTGGTGATGACTCCTCTGTCATTATCACAAGCCTTCCTGCCCTGGCACTCATAGGAAATGAATTGTTAATAGTTGAGTGATGGTTTACTCTTAAGGTCTAAAGGACTGTCTTAGACTATGTCTTGTTGGCAGAGGTCAGTATGTTTGGTCTAAATGCAACTGGAGCCATACCTGGAGGGACAACCTGGAAATCTTAACTTGATGTATAGCCACCGATCTGTTATCCCCAAAAGAACAATGGCCTAAACAATACTAATGCATTCTCTGTAGAACCTTTGTTAAAGGTCACACTCAGCACTTTGATTTCCATTTTGGATGTTGTACTTTTGGTTTTTATGCAAAGAAATGGTTTGATGCGCTCAAGAGCTTTCTTTCATGCAGCATTGGTAGTATGGAAAGGAGAAAGCATCTTTTCCTTCGACCATTTCTCTCTCTTTGTAAATCATAATTTCTTTTTGATATGTAAATTATTTTTTTCTTTTAAGTAGGAGCAGTGTTGCCTGTGTTTGTCTTGTTACACAACATAAGAATTTTATTACTTGGTTATATAAGATGGGCTTGTGTAAAGTGGCTTTCATTTTTCTCTAGCATGATAGATGGTTGCAAATCTTAAAATGTGAATACTTTTTAATCATATCTATTTCCTATAAGAAAAGCAAGTATACTTAGTCTTGTTACTTTAGAAGCTCTGTACAATTTAAAAGCAGACATTGAATAAAATGCAGATACCTTTCTTATTTTGAAGTTCAAGCATGCACTTGTAGTTTGTTCAGATTGACTTTATTAACAGGTACAAATTTGCTGTTTACAATTATAGAATTCTGATTTTTTATGTCAGATGGATTTGCTTCAGGAATTCTATGAAACAACACTTGAAGCTCTGAAAGATGCTAAGAATGATAGATTGTGGTTTAAGACAAACACAAAGGTAAAATATATAACTGTTTTTTTACTTTTGTTTGTGATACCTTCAGCTAACTCTTATAAATTATAATTGTGAACTCTTAAAAGACCTTAAGACTTCAACTTTTTTCTCATTACAGCTTGGCAAATTATATTTAGAACGAGAGGAATATGGAAAGTTACAAAAGATTTTGCGTCAGCTGCATCAGTCATGCCAGGTACCTTTATATTCTAAATCACTGTAGCTTAGTAAACAACATTGATTTTTTTTTTAAAATTTTTTTTTACATCTGTTGTTGGCCTTTGAGGCATGTTGCTGAGCTTCAGTACAGAGGGAAGAAGTATTATTTAATTGTTGCCCTGCTTTAATTTGTTGCCCGTTTGATAATGTGAACAAAAAATGATAGTGTCTTTTATTCCTTGATTAAAGATTATTTTAAAAAAAATTATTCACAACTGCTGATTAAGTTTCCTTTTAGTCAGGTGCAAGGATGAGAAGCATATATGAATAATGCATAATGCATAGACATTTATTTTAAAATATAGTGAAGATTCCAAGTGAGCTTTACTCAAAACTGAAAGTACAGTTGTTACTTTATTATTTAGAAGGGGGAAGGCGGGGGGAATACATCAGCCATACAGCCTGCTGTGTTTGCTGTGCTTGTTTGTGTCCTCCTTGCTTCTTCCATCATGGAAAATGGGATACAAATATCTGGGAAATGGTTCTGTTATAGGCAATGGAAGAGGTGTATGTATTTTTTATATATATATATATGTGTGTGTGTGTGTGCATGTGTGTCAGTCATTGCATTTATATACTGAGAGTGTGGTTTACGGAAAGTGGAAAAGAATGAAGGGCAAAGTTCTGAGGAAAGCATTTAATCAAACAAAAATACTGACTTTTTAAATAAAGGGCTTCAAAATTTGGCCTGTGATAAGTTCTTTGAGTATTGTGTTGTGTGTAAGTTAAAACTTAATTTTGATATAAGAATATCCTTATTTCTGACAGGAAATTACTGAGAGTATTTGGTAATAATTTTTTTTACTAGTATAAAACTGAAATCACTGTTCTCTTAAAATTTGACAGTATTTATTAATTTATTCTAGACTGATGATGGGGAAGACGATCTAAAAAAAGGTACTCAACTATTGGAAATCTATGCTTTGGAAATTCAAATGTATACAGCACAGAAAAATAACAAAAAACTTAAAGCACTATATGAACAGTCATTGCACATCAAGTCAGCCATTCCTCATCCACTAATCATGGGAGTCATCAGAGGCAAGTTAATCTTGAATTTTTGATTTAACTTCCGTTGCATAGTTTAGTTTTATGAAAATCTGGTAATTAATGCTTTTCCAGTTCTGATTATAAAGACGAGGATCCTGTAGATTCAGAGGCAGACAAACTATGTGAATAAAGGACTACAAATGCAGTAGCTACTCATCAGTTAATGTTTGCCTCCTGTAGGGCTTCAGCTCTGCTGTTCTGGGGCCTAAGTGCTACATGCACTTGTCAGAAGGGCAGGACAGTTGGCTACATACAGCGTAGGAGAGAAGCATCAGAAAAACAAGAGGAAGACTTGAGCTGTTTGGCAGCATGGCAGGCAACAAAGGATAAATGCAGAGGCATTTGCAAAGGATAAAAACAAAGGCTCAACGGGACTGCTAGCGGAAGTGACTGCTGTTTCTGCAATCCCCTTTGTAAATTGTAAATTCGTGCTCACTAAAGTTCATCAGGAACCGAAGGGCTTTAAGATGTGTTTGAAAATATTATTTATTATCCATAATGCTGAATTATAGTGGAAACATGCTGTGTGTCTTGGAAAAAAAACTTTCTTCAGAATACTGTTGTGCCTTCCCTCTTCCCCTGGTGTGGGCACTTGCGTAGACAATCAGGCAGCAGTGGGTACTTCAGAAATAAAAGGAAATAGAGAGTTTTTCTCAATTTTTCTGTCTGGTTTTGCTCAACAGATAGGGAAAATTTGATAAATACAGGAAGTCTATTGCCTTTGAAATGGAGATAAATTCTATTTCAGTTTTTACAGTATTTTAACAGAAGGTTAAAATAATTATTGGCTGTGAGGATTAATGTTCTCTTAGATTTATCGTGTGGGTCGGGTTCTGTTTTTTCTTCTTTGGAATGAGTTTATTCAAATGGCAATGCTGTATGTGAAGGCTCTAATGCTTTTTTTTCCTAGCAATTTCAGAGAATGAAAAGACTCCTGAAAATATTTCAGTAATCTATTTAGAAATAGCGTGGAACTTCTGAGTACAATTATTGTAGTCAGCAACAAGCACACAGTGTTCTTTTTCTCTTCATCTGTGTTTTCTTTTCAGAATGTGGAGGCAAAATGCACTTAAGAGAAGGAGAGTTTGAAAAGGCACATACTGATTTTTTTGAAGCATTCAAGAATTACGATGAATCAGGGAGCCCCAGAAGAACTACTTGCTTAAAATACTTGGTCTTAGCAAACATGCTTATGAAATCTGGAATAAATCCATTTGACTCTCAGGAGGTATTTTTTTCTTTTTTTTTCTTTTTTTTTTTTTTCCCCCTCCCTTTTCTGAATTGATAGAGAAATTACCTGAAAGACAAAAATGGAAAAAAATATTTAATATCTAAACTTGCATATTGTGCTTTTTGTTCCGTGTAGGCTAAACCATACAAAAATGATCCAGAGATTCTAGCAATGACAAATTTAGTAAGGTAAGATTTTAATTTTTCTGGAGAAGAGAACAAAATATAAAAACATGTAGTGTCTAAACCAGAAGTTGAACATTTCTAGAGATGGCTTTTCTCTGCACAGCTAACAGTTATTTTGTAAATATCAGGGAAATATTTGTAGACTGTTTTTCTTAAGAGACTTTTATTTACTATGACATGCCAAAGTATCTATGCTATACCAGGTAGGGGTACAGAAACATGCCGTTGTCTTCTACTATGCTGAATTTCTTAGGCAGCGGCAAGAACCTTATTTCGTCCCTTAAATAAAATTGTCCCACCTTGTACTGCAACGAGTCTTTAGGGTTTGGCTGATTATATATGAGAAACTGAGATGGTTGACATTCTATACCAAAGCCAATAGAATACTTGGATGCATGGATATGTCATGATTGCTAAACGAGTACGAAACTGAACTCTCAAGTGATCTTCTCTATCCTTCAAACATATGCAAAAATCAAAAGAAGGCTTCATTACCTCTTAGAGGCAACTGTAATGTGAGAACTTTTAGTGTATTAAGATTATCTGGCAAAATAAATTGAACTGAGGCAGTTTTTGTATACTGTGCTTTGAAGCTAATCTATTCCGTCCACTCTATCCTGCCTTTGCTTTACCAAGTAAAATAAAATTAGCAATGCATTGGAAAACTTTTCCCAGCTTTTCACTGTGTAAGAAGTAATGCCTGCTCGCATTTTGAAATACACAGTTGATCTCATGTTGGAACAAACTTTGCTCTGATACCACTATGGTGCTGCATCATTGTAAGCATACAAATTGTTGCTGAAAGTGAGGTTGTTCATCCGTTATTGACATAATGATGAATAAATGATTTGGCAGTTTAGTAAGGGACTGTTTCCAATAATTCCACTTAAGACAAGTCTTTTCTACTTCACAGTCATAGTTTCATGTGAATTCAAGGCAGAAGGAACTCCAGATGGCCTTATCCAATCTGATTTTATTCCCATTCCTAATTTATATCTTTTATCTTGACATTTGAGTGTAAATGCTTCTTTAAAGTTAATAATGCAATTAAAACAGAGTAGATAAGAAATATGCAGAAGATAAAATCAATTCCAAAGGTTACAATTATGTTTTTAATTCTTCCTATACATTAGGAACTTGAATGTTTTACATATGATAAAAATAAACTTCTGGAATAAACAATAAAATATACTTAACTGAAATTCCTTTTAATTATGAAGTAAAATTGACTGGTTTCATGTGATACAGTCCATTCTGCTTGTATAACTCCATTTATAAACTCCTCAAGTTTCACTTTAAATTTAGCAGATCTTTTTCTTGCTGATTTTACTGATAATAAAGGATGACTTTTTTTGGACCAGTTTTATAAACAATTTGAAAATGTAGAGAGACTATGAAGGAAAAAGAGATGAGTTTAAAGTGTTTGGTGTTAGTATTAAACAGAATTTGAAAGCAAGTATTTAACACTTTTGTCTTTCAGGTTAAATATTGATGGCCTGTAGCTTAATGTAACTAAATTACTGTGTAAATTTGCTTAGTTAGTAGATAGTCTCTATTACAGCTGACGGTTCTGTAAGAAAAGATGATAGATTTGAATTGTCAAACCATTATATTTCAAGAAAAAGGTCTTGTTTTAGTGGCTTACCTTTTAAATGATGCTGTGTGCCACTACTGAACAACAGGTGTCTAAACCACCTTCTTTTTGTAATCCTTTCTCAGATAACAAGATTGACTGGTTAAATGATATATATATATACTAAAAATAAGCTATAAATAAAAATATAAAAAGTAATATTAGGCCAGAACTACTGATGATTAATCATAGAAATCAAGATTTCTTTCATCTTCTAGTATTTTTAGAATTCGGCTTAAGAAGGGCATTGTAGAAGCAGCAACAGCCCTCTAGACTCTTTTTAGCTCTTATTTGTTCCATGAAGTATGGCTTCATGAAGCCAAAATTCAAGTAATGATACTTTTAAAAATTGGCTATTTTTAGGGTCTAGGCTTTTTAAATAATAACTTATTAAAGTACAAAAGTTTTGAAACTAGAGTGCACTTATGGAATAATTAAATGTTCATAGTAAACTTTTGTACATGCTACTAAAATTGAAATAGGACAAAGGTCATTTCTTTTGCATCTCATCTTGAAATAGTTTTCCCTTATAAAGGTTCTGAATATAGTTATTTGTCACCAAGACTTAATATAGGTTTTTTTTAGAAGAAAAAAAGTTTTTTGTAGAACACAGTCTTAGGAGTCTGTTTAAATTTTAAAAATAATAATTCAGTCTCTTGTTTTTTCTGAAGTGCCTATCAGAATAACGACATCACTGAATTTGAGAAGATTCTGAAAACAAATCATAGCAACATCATGGACGATCCCTTCATAAGGGAGCACATTGAAGGTATTTTTGCAGACTACTTTAATCCTTTTTGTTTTCACTACTTGGTAAGCTGCTTCCTCCCCACCCCCCTCCGGTTTATTTTTCTATTTTTCTTCTTGGCAGAATGAGAGTTCTTTGTAATAACTTGTGGACGATTCCTTTACTGTTTCTAAGTTCTTTAGAAGTTGGTCGAGGCCAACATGCATCCAGGTTCTAGAAAGAACGAATATTCTAAGATAATATCTACATGTTAGGTGCTGAATGTTTTGAGTGGTGTGGTTTTTTTTTTCCATTGGAAGGATTAAATGAGGGCAACCCTTACTTGTAAAGGTTGTTTGTGTCAGTCTCAACAGTTAGATGTTTGCTAGTTAATAAGAGTAATTTTCTGCTTCAGATTAAAGACAATCTGTAGACAAGGTAATGAAGGTTGCATTAATAAATGTGTAGTAATAAAATATGGAACAATATACATAATTATAATGTATATGTTGAAAACAAGGTTTGAATAGACAGTACCTATAGGGGAATACACTAACACATGTCCTTCCATTCCATTAACATGACAAAATGAAGTTACCCCCTGCATTTATCATGTAGCTGAGAACTTAAAAGCCTCTTCACTTGAAAATAGCGTCCAGTTTTTCAGGTAACTACTGTTTCCATCAAGAGTAGGGCTTACAGTGGCATTGGAAGATCATTGAGAGGGATAGTTACGGGAAAGAAAAGAGTTAAATCCAGAGACCTGGTTTTCTTACACTTCTTGTTTGTAAAAGAGAACATGGCAAACAGCAGGGGAAACTAAATATAACCTCTCTAGTGCTGTTACATGTCGACTACTGGTAAGCTTCAAAGTCTTGCAGGGATGCTCTGTAAGAGCAGAGAGGTGGATGCTTAAGGAATAAAGTATGACAGAACTGGAAAGCAGGAGAAGGAGGACAGTTCAATCAAACGATTGAAAAAAATTTGACTTTCAGCCCTTCTATGATATCCAGGGGGAAAAAAGACATTCTCATCTTTTTCACTCTGTAGTGATACAGAATGTGTGTTCGTGGTTATAATGTTTACATACCTTGCCTCACTGCTTTAATCTAAGTTTTATTGAGATACATAATCTGGTCTTCATTATTATTTTTCATTATATAAACAGTCCTTGTGTAACTAGTTAGGTAAAAATATATCTAGCTGTTTTTCTGTTAATTTACAATTATAATTTATGCTTTCATTTTACCCAAATTTTCTTTAATGATGTAAAAATTTCTTAAATAATGGCTCCGCTATCTTATCTAAGCAAAAACAAGCACTTTATTCAAATTCTGTTTTATACTTCTTCAGTTCCTCATCATAATTATGCCATTAGGTCCTGATCTTTTAACTTAAAATGTGAATATTCCTCATGAAGTTAAATGCTTGCAGACTTAAGTTTCAGAGCCCTAAGAACACCTCTTTTTGCTTTTGTACAAGGCAACCACTTTAGCCATAAATTAAGAGGAGCAGGCATACCATGCAATAATCTCTATGACTTATCCAGTTAATTTGAATAATTTAAATTTTTACCAGAGAATATATTGCTTCATACTGTTTAAACAGTTTTCAACTCTATCTGTCCATCTTCAGTGATACATACTGCGTGGGTCCCTGGAAAAAGAGGGTCCCTTTATTTTGCTGTGGTTCCCACCTCAATGAAAAGCTCATGGTATTTAGAATATCTTTCTATATGGAGCTGGATTGCATCTTTATTTCAGTACTGTTGTTTTTACAATATTTTTTATTCTTATCTTACAGAGCTTTTGCGAAACATCAGAACACAAGTGCTTATAAAATTAATTAAGCCTTACACAAGAATACATATCCCTTTTATTTCTAAGGTATGTGTCAGTGGAGCCTTGCATTTGCTGAAGTAAATAATTATTGTGAATAAAAGCTCTTAAATGAATACAGTGCTTCCAGAAATAGAACATGTAAAATATAACCTAAACCATAAAGTAGTACTGATGAACTGCTGGCAGCTTTGCAGTGCGAAAATGTAAATTTCAAGTGTCGTCCCAATGTTTTTTATAATATGTACTATGATATACTTCTAAAATATTCAATTACCATGATCTACTTGGTGTAGAAAAGGACTTTCCTGAAGAGAAATTTAAAAGTGAAAGTTTTATAATTCAAGATATAAATATGAATGTAAATTTTTATGAACATAAAAATCCAAATTTTAATTCCTTTTGTTCAAAAGATATTTTCAAATGTCTGTGTTGTACGGGTTACAGAACTATGGTAACAGAACAAACCAACTATTATACTAGAATCACTGATTTCATTCCCTACTCTGGAAAGAATAAAATCACAACCCAATGACAATAAATTACTATTTCCATCTCCTGTAAGTCTGTGATTTTTCTTGCAAAAATTCACAGCATTCCAAAATAAATCATGAAGTATTAGAGGTGTCTATTTTATGCTTAAATTCTCTTTAGGTCTCTTTGCTTCCTTTTTTTAAACTAGCCTTAACAT